GCCGGGGGCCCTTGCCACGGGGGGGGCCCGGCGCGTGTCTCTAAGGGGGGTCTTTGCCCCAGGGTGTCCCCCGCGGGTGTCCTTGCCGTGGGGTGTCTCTAAGGGGGGGTCTTCGCCGTGGATGTCCCCAATGGGTGTCGTTGCCGTGAGATATTCCCAGGGGGTGTCCTTGCTGCGAGGTGTCCCTGAGGGGTGTCCTTGCCGTAGGGGGTCCCTAAGTGGGTCTTTGCTACTGGGTGTCCCCAGCGGGGGTCCTTGCATTGGGGTGTCTCTAGCAGGTGTCCCCAATGGGTGTCCTTGCCACAGGGTGTCTTTAAGAGGTGTATTTGCCACAGGGTGTCCCCAGCGGGTGTCTCCAAGGGGTGTCCTTGCCGCGGGGTGTCCCCAGCGGGTGTCTTTGCCGTAGGGTGTCTTTGCCGTAGGGTGTCCCCGCCGCGGGGTGTCCCCGCCGTGGGGTGTCCCCGCCGCAGGGTGTCCCCGCCGCAGGGTGACCCCGCGGGTGTCCTTGCTGCGAGGTGTCTCTAAGGGGTGTCTTTGCCGCGGGGTGTCCCCAGCGGGTGTCTTTGCCGCGGGGTGTCCCCAGCGGGTGTCTTTGCCGTAGGGTGTCCCCGCCGCGGGGTGTCCCCGCCGCAGGGTGACCCCGCGGGTGTCCTTGCCGCGAGGTGTCTCTAAGGGGTGTCTTTGCCACAGGGTGTCCCCAGCGGGTGTCTTTGCCGTAGGGTGTCCCCAGCGGGTGTCTTTGCCGTAGGGTGTCTTTGCCGTGGGGTGTCCCCGCCGCAGGGTGACCCCGCGGGTGTCCTTGCCGCGAGGTGTCTCTAAGGGGTGTCTCCGCCGCGGGGTGTCCCCAGCGGGTGTCTCCAAGGGGTGTCCTTGCCGCGGGGTGTCCTTGCCGCGGGCCGTGCCCAGCGCGCTCCTCCGCCTGTCAGGAGGACCGCACGGCGGCTACCACGGCCACTACCACGACGAGGGCTACGGGCCGCCGCCGCCGCCGCACTACGAGGGCCGCCGCATGGGCCCGCCCGTCGGGGGGCACCGCCGGGGGCCCAGCCGCTACGGCCCGCAGTACGGGCACCCGCCGCCGCCGCCGCCGCCGCCCGAGTACGGCCCGCACGCCGACAGCCCCGTGCTCATGGTGTACGGCCTGGACCAGGCCAAGATGAACTGCGACCGCGTCTTCAACATCTTCTGCCTCTACGGCAACGTGGAGAAGGTGAGCGGCGCGCGCCGGGCTCCCGCCGCCGCGCGGATCCCGCTGCTCCATGGGTGTCCCGCTGCTCCCTGTGCACGTCCCGCTGCTCCCTGTGCACGTCCCGTTGCTCCCTGTGCACGTCCCGTTGCTCCGCACTCATCCCATTGCTCTGTGCTCATCCCCCTGCTCCTTGGGTGTCCTGCTGCTCCATGTGCACGTCCCCGTGCTCCATGTGTATGTCCCGCTGCTCTGAATGCATCCCATTGCTCCGCGCACGTCCCGCTGCTCCCTGTGCACGTCCCGCTGCTCCCTGTGCACGTCCCGCTGCTCCGCACTCATCCCATTGCTCTGCGCTCATCCCGCTGCTCCTTGGGTGTCCCGCTGCTCCCTGTGCACGTCCTGCTGCTCCGCATTCATCCCGCTGCTCCACGCACATCCCGCCGCTCCGCGCTCGTCCCGCCGCTCCGCGCTCGTCCCGCTGCTCCGTGCTCATCCCGCTGCTCCTTGGGTGTCCCGCTGCTCCATGTGCACGTCCTGTTGCTCCGTGGGCATCCCGCCGCTCCGCGCGTGTGCCGCTGCTCCATGCACATCCCGCTGCTCCGCGCTCGTCCCGTTGCTCCGCGCTCGTCCCGCTGCTCCGCGCTCATCCCGCCGCCGCGCTCGTCCCGCCGCAGGTCAAGTTCATGAAGAGCAAGCCCGGCGCGGCCATGGTGGAGATGGCGGACGGCTACGCCGTGGACCGCGCCATCACCCACCTCAACAACAACTTCATGTTCGGCCAGAAGCTCAACGTGTGGTGGGTGCCCGCGGCGGCTCGCGGCGCGCGCC